CTGGCAAATTACATTTACTCAGAAACATTATGGATTAAAGATGGAACATAAAAACACATGAAATCAGAAGAATGGAAGCAGAGATTATACACAGATTTATTCATCAAACATTTCATTTTGTCATTGAAGCTGTGACAAAAATGAGTTAATAGATTATTTGAAATTACCTCTCATTTTATGAGGAAAGTCAAAATTTTAAATAAATACCCACAATTGTACATAATAGTTAATGGCTTTGGTAACATCATGGTGATGGTAACATGATATGTTCCAGCAAAGTGCCGTCCCTTTCGTATTTACACCATTTCAAGCCCTCAGTCTCTCACACTCAACCATTTACCAGGTGACGTCAGTAAGTCCCTGAGGGTTCGGGGTTTAAGGCCTTAGGGGGGACATTGAGATTGGGCCTTTAAGCCCATCATGGACACTTTCCATGAATCCGCATTTTTGCAAACTTCGCCCAAGAGAATGACCCACAATTCATAGCAACGTGACGTTAAACACAGGGTTGGCAGTAGAAGCATGCAAGCCAGAGCGAAAAAGACAAAAAAAGGTAAACAAAGAGGACGGCACATGGGTGTTATACAGTCTGTGGTTCAGCCTGACATAATACATTTACTCAGAAACATTAAGGATTAAAGATGGTACATAAAAACAATGCAAGCAGAGACTATATTAAGATTGTTTCACAATTACCTCTTATCTCGTGAGGCAAGAGCCAAATCAGGGACTAAAACTATAAAATACAACGTGGTTTCATAATCGTGATTTTCACAGTTTCAAGCCCGCACAGCCTCTCACACTCAACCCTCCACCATGTAACAGGTGACTAAGTCCCTGAAGATTCAGGGTTTAAGGCTTTAGGGGCTTCAGTTTTAGACATGGCAGTAAAGACGTGGTAATGTACGCTTGTTACATGCATAGTGTTTTTTCAAAATGAACCTACGCCTTCACAGGAAGCTTAAGTTTAGGCAACAAAACCAGTAACTAAGGTTTAGGAAAAGACAATGGTGGACGTTTACTTGACTGACTAACGACTCACATGACTAACGACTAAGTCATGTGACAAGCGACTGGCGTGACAAAATGTCAACGTTTACCTTTTGTTTTGCGCGGGACATGAACAGGGGTTTCCTGGACGAACGTCCTGTGTTTGCATGAGTACCAGCCCTGTATGGACTATCTCGCTCTTTACATTAAGTCAGTTGTTCCGAGCGTCTACTTCAGGTTTAAATTGGAGTTAGTTGAAAGAGCGGCGGGTCGGTATCAGGCGCCGAGGGGCACTGACCAAGTGTTCGAGTTTGGTGACAGGACTGGTTGATTTTACATATTAAGCATTTGATCATTTTGTGAATTATTATGCAGAGTTCTAGATCAAACTATGCAACAGTATATATAAAGTAGCTCCAAGTCAACAAACATTAAATTGCTTATACATTGATGCATGTAATGGTAATTTTTTACATAGTATATATTTCTACTCAGTATATAGTATTCATGCATAAGTAATTTTGCTCTGAACTTTGTTGAACTTCACCGTGTCTCTGTTGTGCAAAAGAAGAATTCTCCCTTGCCTGTTCACAAAGATAACTAACTGTGTTGTATGAGAATGTTCCACCGTCAAGGCCTTTGGGACGCTTGTTTTGGTTGCTGGCCGTTTGTTTTTCATTGTTGTTCCTATCAGTCTGAGACCAAAATGTCTGTAACATTGGCCATCGGCCCCCACCTTTGCTCATTCTGTATGAAGAAAGCGGGTTCACTTTTTTCCGAGGTTCTTCCTCATGGAAACTACGCATTCTGTTGGGATGATTGAACCTTCTCTGCGCAGAGAATAAATACTGAAAAAGACAACCTGGTTTTCAGTATTATTTATTTCAGCATTAAAAGACACACAAAGCGGGTATAGGTATATTCTCCACCACATGCATCGCTCGTGATATTCCAATAGGTTACTATAATAAATACAGTAATATAACACTCTGAAAGGGGCCACTCTGCATGATTAGTGCTTTTATTAGTCCATTCTGCTGCTACCAACTCAAGTAACTTTTACATAAAGAAATAGTTTGACTGGGACACAAGTTTGAATAGGAAATAAGCTGATCCCAGATTGCTACAGCTAGCAGGCAGTTAGCTTAGTTCAAAGACTTGAAACAGGGGAAACAGCAACATTTTGCACGTTGGTTTTTGTAAACAAATTAGATAAAAGCGTGTCCATTAGTGAGCTTTAGACGTGTCTGCAGACGAATTTTGTTACAGTTGGACGGAGCCAGGCTAGCTGTCTTTGAGCAAAGCTAAGGTAATCGAGTGCTGCGGCTGTAGCTTCATGTTGAACAGACATCAATACTGTAAGAGAGCAGTATCCCTCTTACCATCTATCATTGCTTTAAGTAAAGGAACTGTCTACCAACACTGAAAACTATGATTCCTTGTAAGAACTTCATTGTGGCAAGACTATGATACACTTCCTGATTGAATTAAGAGTACATTTTTCCCGACTGTGACTCAGACTCTGGTTTGAATCCCAGGATAGACTGGCCCGCGTAAAAGAATTTATAATTTGATACACTGTTAAAACAATACAGACGGGATAAACATAACCATAAAACTTCCATAAAACCATAAAACTTCTCACATACCAGTGCTTACAAACAGTGAATTACTTCCCTGTCTGAAAAACGACTGGCCTGCTTCACACAAGATTGATTTTACATCTCTGATTTCCTCTCGTTTGGCATCAGAGAAGAAGTTGTAAACAGAAGTGGTCACAGGACTTTCAGAGCGCCCCCTGTACCATGACCACCGCAGGATTAAAATAGATGGGCCATGACTTTGTCTCCTTGGTCACACCATTAGAGCGACGACTGACAGCTTCCTGAGGCGCTTTCCTTTTTTAAATTGACTCATGACTTCAGTCCACAACCTCTAATGTGTTGTTGAGTGAAAACACAAAACACTAGTCGGACAGGTAGCTGCAGAACAAAGATGAATGTTGGTTGTAAAAGAGGACTACCAGTTTGATTCGTTTTAAAGCTAAAAGTAGATTCAACAAAAAGAAATAATGGCTGAACACAGGTCAGTTAGAGAGATTTATAATAATGTAAACATTTTTCTGGCTTTGTTGTGTGATTCTCGAGGAGTTCAGTCTGGTTACGTATGATTAGAAGATACCTTGATTTTTATTAAATTTATTCGCTTTCTTGATGAGAGTTAAATGAGAAGTTCGATACAACTCTGGATCTTCTCTCATCAAGAAATCAGCATTCCAAAAATGTTGAACTATTCCTTTAAGAAGAAGCACTACCTTCACCACTTTGACACCTCGGCAACAGTTTTATATTATTTTTTTGCCTGTATGTTAGCAGGCTGAAGACTCCCACCTTAAGGAACGAGATCGATCTTGGAATAATCAAAGGCTTTGTTTTTGTGAGGACTAAAATCAGCTCAGTGAATCATACATTTTGCAAACCTGCCAAAGTCTGGAGAGAGATTTAGTCGAGGGGAGGAACAGGAAAGATGACCAGCTGGGGATGTTTACCGTGTCTGTACCTGATATTCATCTCTCTCTCCTGAGAGTTCATGTTGTAGCGTCTGCATTAGGACTTTGGTGAGAGAGCATTGCTTGGAAAGGGACCAGACATTTGTCACATGGAAGAAGAAGAAGTGTGTCCATGAAAACCTCTGAGGGGGGATTTAGAATTTAAAAAATCTGATTTTATGATTTGCATTCAAAGATTTATTTGTCAAAAAACACAATCGTACATTGTGCAGTAGAGTGCTAAGCTCCAATTTTGATAATAGAACAGAGAATAATACGAAAACATTTAAATATGGAAAGAAAACAGAGAACCAAATTTGCATTACAAATAAATTGTAAACACTCAAGAGCTCGAAGGTCATTTTCATGTTTCATCTGGGTTGGGGCCACCAGTGATGCGCAGGTTGACCCAAACGTTAAAAAAAATGAATCAATCCCCTATTTTAAGCCTGAAACTGATCATTACCTCCTGTATGAGGGTGAGGTTTAACTAATTCCCCAGCACAGAGATTTCCCAGCACCTACACCACAGCCCATGCCAGAGACCATATGAGATGTTTGGCTTTTCTAGTTTCTAAGCCAGAACTATGCACGGACATTCATAGCAGGAACCTAACTTTCAAGCCTCTGCATATCACATTTCTCTCATCAAAGGAGTTCTCTGTGTCAGGGCAGGTGTGGCTGAAAACCTGTGGTTGAAAAGGAAGACAGCGTGGAGGAGGAGGAGGGGGAGGAGGAGGCCAACCCTCACATGAGCTGCCCTTAAAACAATAATCCACCATTCTTTCCAAGTGATAATATCCTCATCACTCCCGTGTCAGCACCATGTGGTCAGAAATAATAGTCAGAGACAGACGGGTGCACCTGAATTCAATATGAACAGCAAAACAATCAAAATGTACCTTTTTAAAATCTATGGAAACACATTTTCTCACAATACGATGGGTGTGTTCGCATGCTCTGACAGCTGCTATTATCTAACTATTTGCTTAATACACTCCACTTTAATTTTCTGTTCTGGCACCTACATTGGTCTGGAAAAACAGAGGGAATTCCTCCCCCCTTCTTCTTTTTCTTTTTTTTTTTCCTGGTGGAGGTCCTATTAATGTTACCAATGCTGTCTGGCCCGGCTGAATGTATTTACTTAGTGTTAGGAGAGTGGTGGCCACAAAAGCTGGAATGTGCCTGAGTGTGACTTGAAAGCGGCTGCTACATTTTAATTTTTAACCCATAAAATAAATACAGAGCGGCCCTGCGAATTTTATGAATGGCTGCATTCATTCCAAAACACGCCCACCAATCAGCGAGCTGTCCTCGCGGTGAAGCCACGCCTGTTTGGAATGTCGGGGCTGCTGCCTGCGCGCTGAATGGCTGGAAGCATGGAGAGGGGCGGGGTCTCTTTGAGGCTCACCAGCGGGTATAAATGAGCTTTTAGACACTCATCCCGGGAGAAAAACAAGGACAACGGTCCATAAAAGACTGAAACTCAGTGGGAACCTACTTAAGACTCGCAGCAGTCCTTCGGATTGTAGTTTGAAGATATATTTTTTTAAATCTTTATTTGTATTTTTTGTAAACGCGTCATAGGCTAATCATGGCATTTCTGATCTACCTGACTGTACTGACAACAGCAGTCGTCACACAGGTAAGACGTGCGTGCAGCTGTGAGTGATCTTACAGGAAGTGTTTTTAAAGGTTAGTTTAATGTGTAATCTGCTGTGGATAGTCCTATAAATGTGATTCAACTTTGATCTCCAGAGTTGTGAACAGCACAAACATCCCCTGATGTAAACAAACGTGTCGTTCGAAAAGCTTTAACACGTGTTTCATCTTCAGCATCATACTAACTGTGATTAGTTTGTCTGTCAGCCTGAACAGTGGCTGCAATGCAACGTTTTGCAGAAAGGAGTTTAGGTGGGGTTATCACTGTTATTACTGCTTACATACTAATACAGTTCCTCTGAGGTTCCTCGTCTTGGTGATCAGCATGCCTACTCATGTCGCCCTGTTTTTTTTTTTTAAAGCTCAGTGACATGTTGATTCCCACAAACTGGAACAAGTTGGCTCTAGAGCTGAGCGATGACTCAAACCACGAGTCAGCAAGGGGACCTGGGTACAAACCCTGAGCTGTCTAGACACCCAGGGCCGACTGGCCAGCAGTGACTTGACTTACTGTAAAGGCGTAGTGCAGTGCTTTCGTCTGTAGAACAATTTTTAAAAATCAATCACAAACCCTGGGAAGCCTATGATACAGAAAATCAAACAAATTAATGAAGCAGCTCCTCCTCACACTTTGATGTTGGAAGAAATTCTCCAATCAAGTAGTTAGTAGTGTGTAGCACTGTGGCCTCTCTACATTTGTCAAGAAAAGCTCTGTCCTGAAGTTGTATTGTAGATCTCTGATGTTGTTCGAACAATGCAATGGAGTTCCTTTTTGTGATCTCTCTTCTCTTCCCCCCCCCTCCCCCAGGTGACTGCCAGCTGCCCGGCAGTGTGCGACTGCCCCACCGAGCCCCTGGTCTGCCCTCCGGGAGTCAGTGCCGTGCCGGACGGATGTGGGTGCTGCAAGGTGTGTGCTGCACAGCTTAACCAGGACTGCAGCCCCGTGAGGCCTTGCGACCACCACAAAGGGCTGGAGTGTAATTACGGCAACGATGTGCCCGAGGCCTGGGGCATCTGTCGAGGTGAGAGAGGGGAGTGAAAAATGGATGTTGGGAGGGAGGGAGGGAATATCACTGAGAAAAGAATCTTGTATCTAAAGTGAATATGGCGAATGTGCTCCACTTTAAAGGCTGTGAAGCCTGTGCAACAATGTACAAAAGATGTCAAGGAACTGAATTAATTGCCTCCCCCCCCCCCCCCCCCTCCTTTCCATAAAGCCAAAAAGCCAAAGCCATCACAACCCAGTGATGAAGCAACATGAAACCTTGCACTTCCGGGAACAAGACAGGGGGGGTATTTCAATGAGTTGTAGAGGTTTTATGGCAGCGACAGGGGGTTTCAAAGATTAAAAATACACTCTCCATCTGCACCATGCCGGTGTTGCCACACAAACTATGAATAGCTGGTTCTTTCACACTTTGGAAACAAGGAGTCTGACACTTCCTGTGTCCTTATTTCCACTGGCCTTTGGATCTCAGTGGTCCTCTGTTGCCATGTGAAATCATTGTGTGTGTGCGTGTGTGTGTGTGTTTATTCGGTCAAGTCAGGAGAAACTTTTCTCATCAGCTGTTGAAATATGAGCACATGGTGAATTCTTCTTAACATAGTCCGGAAGTCATTGGGGCCTTTTAGACTTTAAAGGATGTCCTGTAGAAACCGAGATGCATCTCTGTGATACCCAACACATGGAGGAGTCCCCTATTGCCCTTTGCTTTGTGCAAAAAAAAACTTTGTGTGCGTGTGTGGTCATTCTGCAATTTGCGAGTCATTAAAGGTTTTAGTACAAATGAGTAAGTAAAATGTGTCTTTCCAGCAAAATCAGAGGGACGCACATGCGAGTACAACGGCAGGATCTACCAGAACGGCGAGAGCTTCCGTGCCGGCTGCAAACACCAGTGTACCTGCATCGATGGCGCCGTCGGCTGCTCTCCCCTCTGCACCAACAAGCTGCCCCCGGCCTCTCCAGCCTGCCTCTACCCACGGCTGGTCAGGATCCCCGGGCAGTGCTGCTTCCACGTGAACTGCCACAAGGGCACGTGGCGGCTCCCACCTAAGCATCAGGTTTGCTTTTTCATGCAATATGGCATAGGACTCTCTTTTGGTTGAATGACTGACACACATGGCACAAATTAGGAACCTTGTATATGGATTTTCTTTTAGCAATATCAAATGCTGTGACTCATTTCTACACACATATATATATATATATATATATTTCTTTTTTCTAATGCATCAATCATCACAAGTGAGGAACTTCAACTACAGAATATTTGGAATTTAAGCAATATTCCTGCAGGTAGAGAGGAGTAAAGTGTCTCTCCTTCGATTGCCCTGAATAAATCCCTTGATAATCAGGGCGCCATGGTGATAATGCTGTAAAAAAACAACACATAAACGATGTATGGACTCCCCAGCGCTGTCTCATCTTATCTCTCACCACAGGCGCCTCCACCACAACTGCACCTGCCCAGACGTCAGCACCAGCCTGAAAATGAGCTGGCCAACGAGCTCACAGAGGTCAAGTCCAGCGGCTGGGAGAGTGAACATGGCTTCAAACACCTGCCTGGTGAGAGAAATGGAGACTGAGAGGGGAATATTAAGTGTTTATCTTCACTGCTTCACTCACATTTTTGTCCCGTTAGTTTAAAGTTTCAAATTGGGTGCTGAATATCACGGAAATTGCAATTTAACAAAACAGTATTGATATCCTTAAAATAATGATGCTAACATTCAGTGGTTCCCAAACCTTTTGGCTTGTGTTAAAACAATCCAATTTTTCCATTGGATTTCGGATTATTGCAGAAAATAAGCTCAGTGGCAAACATAAGTTTATGATATTTACACGTTTTGTTCAGCAAACTAATCATCACAAAAAAAAAAAATTTATTTTCTGAACCGTGCATGTAATCGTCAGAAGTAAAAAAAAGATACCGTTGGGCTATAAACAAACTACACGACGGTTGCATGAGCACGAGTATACACACAACAAGGCCGCGAAGGTGGACTCGTCAGCCTGAGGACATTCTGTACTAGCAAATGCCTTTTTAAAGACGCGTAAAAGCTTCATGAGTGGGATATTTACGTATTTTATACCGTAGAACAAAACGTTCTCTTAAGTGTGTGTTAAACAGAGAGCTTATTCCAGGCATCTAACCAAAGCCCCATTCAAAACCTCACTGGAAGTGCAAAATTGCTGACTCATTTTCGGGGGTTTAGAGCTCATTCCTGCAGCACTCTATCTATGACATAAACTAAAGAGTTGGACAAATGTAAAATTAAAGGGATCACTAAGTCACCAGGGACCAATCAGGATTCATCCTCTGGGCATCATGAATGTTAATACCAAAGTTCATATCGCATCCATTCAATACTACACTACACCAGTGTAGTGTAGCAACATTGCCATCCATTGAGCCACGATGCTAACGTGGCTAAAAAGAGAAAAATCTGAAAGAATAAATGTTTTGTGCGGCAGAAAATTTGTTTTTTGCTGCTTAACCTTGGCTCCCTCCGATTCATCTTGTGACCCCCCCCCCCCTCGATGGTTCCACACCCCCTCCAGGTTGAGCACCACTGGCCTAATTGATGATTTTTCTTTTCCACCCTTCTTTGTGTCTCCTCAGTGTGGAACCATCTGAAGGAGATGAAGTGTCCGGTCCAGACCACGGACTGGTCTCAGTGCTCCAGCAGCTGTGGGATGGGCGTTTCCTCTCGCATCACCAACAAGAACCCTCAGTGCAAGCTGGAGAGAGAGACGAGGATCTGCACCATTCGGCCGTGCCGCCGCCTAACTGCCCCCACCAAGGTGAGGCAGGCTGAACTTGACTTGAACCAAAGCGGAGACAGACGGAGAGCATAGGTCGAGCATTCACTCATTGCTGCCAAGATAACATCTTATCACGACAACTTATCTCTCGCACAGTGAAACCTAAACGCCTTGTGATAACACGCATCCATGAGGAATTATTTCTCCTCTTATCTACATGTCAGACTACGCAGGGGGAAAAAAATAATACCCTCTCATTATCGCTCTGCTCCCTGGTTTCCATCTTCTAAAGAGCAGAGGCTGAAAACGTCCAAACTGTGCCGCAAAGAATGAAAAAGTTTGACCTTCTGGCGTTAAGTAAATCTCCTCTTAGTGCTAAAGCCATGTTTATCCCGAGTTTAAGAAGGGAGATTATTTTAGTGGTACTTTCGGTGAAGCTCTGCATCCAGTGGGAACCGGGCAGTGCTGATTTACTCAGCGGTGTTTTGGTGGCAAGCAGGCGCCTTTTTAAATATAGTCCCCCCCCGGCATTCCTGCCAAGCAACTGTCCATAGCTAGGCCCCGTCTGTGTACTCGGAGTCTGGGGACGTGGTGTGTCTATATTAATCCTCCATGTTGGACACTCACTAGGAGCTCTTTTCTCGGCTCTACTGAGCTCTGGTGCCAAGAGCGATCATAGGTGTCAGTATGTTTAGCGGAAAAGGCCATTCAAATGTTAAATAACGGGTTTAATCTTAAAATGAATCTCTTAAATCTAAAAATAATCCCTCTCGCAATCCCTGTTTTGGCATAACCAATTGAAGTCTGGCCCTCCTTAATGTGAAACTAATGAGTTTGAGTGCAAAGCTGCTTAAATCTGCTATTATGTAAAAGGACAGGGCAGATAAAAGTCAAAGTTTATTAGATTTTTTTTTTTTTATGAAAATCTTCATATGACTTGTTTTGGTGACTTTTGCTACTGAAGCCAGTAAGGAACAACACTTATTATTACCATTCAGACTATGACACGCATCGCTCTGCTTTTATCATCCAACCACAGAAAGGGAAGAAGTGCTCCCCGACCCAGAAAGCCGCAGAGCCCGCCCGCCTGTCCTACGGAGACTGCGCGAGCGTCCGCCTCTACCGGCCCAACTACTGCGGCGTGTGTGCAGACGGACGGTGCTGCTCACCACGCCGCACGCGCACCGCACCCGTGACCTTTGTCTGCCCGGACGGCGAGCACTTCCGGAGGTCGGCCATGTTCATCCAGTCGTGTAAATGCAGCGACGACTGCGGCCACCTCAACGAAGTGGCCCTCCCCCCACAGCAGTGGATGTACGGAGACACGCACCAGTTCACAGACTAGTACCGAGGACGACTTTTTGTGTAATTTTAATGTGATGAGGTCAACTTCCTTGATGAATGAAGACACTTTCAGAACAGGGGCCATTTTTCACATCTGGTTCCCAATGAGTGAAGAGCACAGGACGCCTCAGTTTTATTCTCAATCATAAAGGCAACCTCTTAATTGTGATATTATTGTGTGATCGGAGTGGATTGTACACTTTCCTGTTCAAACAGACATGGGCCCTAAATTAGAGCCACGAGGGACCCCTGGACTTCCTCCACTATTGGACTGAATGCTGGTTCAGGTGTGTTGGATTCTTTTTTTTTTTGGAGACTCTCAGATCAGCCTGAGGAGAAACACTACAAGAGCAACAAAGCACTTTGTTCAGCACTGAAACTTAAGGACGCCAACTATGACGGCAGTGCACAATCACTTCACCTGCAACAATAGCCTCGCACACACTGATGGTGAATGACTCCATATCCCACAATGCACTGCGACTACTCAGCGACAAGCAAAATCATATTTTGCAGCTTTATGTGGAAAGAAAATGTGGACTCTTTAAAAAGTTGACACGCTGCCATTGATATGAACACAGCAATGGACGACATGTTCCACTGTTATTGAGGAACACGATCATGAACTGACAAGTGTTCAGCAAGGAGTGGACCAACGCCAATTGATTTCTTGTTTGTGCATTAAATGCAGCTCAGAGGAATGTCTTACACTAACCTGTACTAGTGAATTTATTTTGGATCACAGTATTTTCTGTAAATATATTTTCTTTATTTTGATCCAAGTTTGTATTGTCACAATTATACACTTCTGTGGATTGAGACGCTGCAGCGTAGTTGTCCCATGTTTTTGTTGGTCCATGCATGTTTCCTGCTAGGTTTTTTTTTTTTTTTTTTAAACTGTAAAACAGTGGTTGTCTTAAAACTATGACTCTGGCACCCTCTGCTGGTGAGAATAGTGAACTACAACAGTTTGTATTTTAGAGAATACTGTACATGTGTAATGTCTGAAATCACATCAATGTTCAAAAACGATCACCATTAAATAAGGTATAAAAAAAATTTAATTCTGCAACCAAAACAATATATCAATGTTTAAACAAGGAAAACAATACAAGCACCCTGCAAAGACATGATAAAAAATAAAAGAAATTAAAAGTTTTTTTTTATCTTTATGAACGTGCCAACATAAGGTAGGAGGAGGGGGGGCTTTAAAATAAATGTTGAGGGGGTTTCTTTCCTCCACCAAAATACAGCAACACCAAGGGTCACGCACGAGCTTCACTGCAAAGTTGCTTCAGACTCATCTGGACTGTTCAACTGCAAAGAGAAAAAGGAAGGTTTTTTGATGTTTATTTTAAATATGTGATGCACTTTCATACACAGTTTTAGCCTCCAGCAGTGTGGTTAGTTACAGACTGGACAAGTGCAAGAACCGCTTGTGAGCAACACCAAAACTTACTGTAGGAGGAGATATCGATCTCCTCTGGTAGCTCTGCTACGTTGACCTCAAAGCGGTCTTGGACGTCGTTCAGGGTCTTGGCATCGGTCTCGTCGGACACGAAGGTGACGGCCAGGCCTTTGGTACCAAACCTGCCAGCACGGGCCACCTGAGGAACAGACAGATCAGGCTCAAAACGGGCTCTGCTGTGCGCGATTGTAAAATACACAGATCTGGGATATAAAAAAAAAAACATTAAATAATATAGCTGGACTGACTCTGTGGAGGTATGTGTCAGAATCCTCTGGCATGTCGTAGTTGAAGACGATGTTGACACGCTCGATGTCCATGCCTCGGCCAAACAGGTTGGTCGCAACCAGGATTCGCCGCTGGAAGTCTTTGAACTGCTGGTACCGGGATAACCTGGGGGGGTGGCATGGTTGTAAATTTCTCACCGGTTACTTGATAAAAAGCAAATTACAGTGATGTGATGTTTTCAAATTCAAGACATTGAAATCAAGAAAGCTACTGTTGAATTAAACGGCACTTACCGCTCCTCCTGCGCCATGCCCCTGTGGATGGCAATGGCAGGGAAATTCTGCTCCACCAGCAGCTGGGACAGAGCCACACAGCGATGCACCGACTTAACAAAGATCACCACCTAAGAAGGAACCAAAAGAAAAGTCTTGCATATTTTTGCTGGAAATGGCAAAGACATCAATGAGATGACCGAATGGCTGAAAGCAACATAAATATCTCCCTTTAGAGGACAAGAAACACTTGACTTCAAAATTATGAGTAGGAGGACATGGGAAAATTAAGCCCTGTGATAAAGATTTAAAATACCAAAACATCACTAATTCAGATAACTGCCGGCTATACCTGGTTGAACTCGAGGACATCGAGCAGGTCGAAAAGCTTCCGGTTCTTCTCGCTGTCCTTCAGCTTGCAGTAATACTGCTGTAAGCCGTGGAGTGTCAGCTTGGTCTCGTCATCCACGAACACTTCCATGGGCTACACAGCAAGAGAGAGGAGCCAAACGTTAGTCACACACACACTCAAGTTTACGACTTCATACAGTTTTCTGAACTTGCAATAAGTTCCAGCAGATGAACTGCGCATGGTGGCTCACTGAACCTGTTCTCCTGGACTGCAGCAGAGCCAGGAGGACAGACTGTCCTGACCGAGCCAAATCTGCCCAAGGAGGATCACTCTGCCCCTCAGATATGGCCACTTATGACACCGACAGCCACAAGTGGGCAAAGCAAAGAGGGGCGTGGCAACAAACACTGAACTACCCGAACCATCTCATTCGTTGATTACACATAACGGGAATAACAGAATCTTAACAGGTTAATAACTAAAAACAATTGAATCTATTAATCATTTAACCGTTAGTGTCTTGTTAAAACATCAGTGAATACGTGTCTACACCCATTTTAACCGTTAACTCTTCATCGTCGGATACATTTCAGACTGAGCAGCTTTGCTGGAGTTTACTGGCACCTCAGTCGTGGCAAAGAGGGAAGGGCAATTGTTGCTCTTTTACTTTCCAGGGATGTATAACTTCTCTAACTCCACAGTAATTGATACATCAGTGTTCATCAACAAAGATTACTTAATACAGGATTAAAATGGCATTTGAAAAGACAATCTCGGGCTTGCAGCACTGTTTATCATTTTGCTAAAAACGAAATAAACTGCAAATTTATTTGAATTTGAAACATTAGTAAATCTCAAGGATAACTCACATCCTGCATGAACTTGCGACAGACGGGGCGGATGTCTTTGCTTAGCGTGGCACTGAACATCATAACCTGTTTCTCGTGGGGTGTCACCCTGAAGATCTCCTGGACATCGTGCCTCATGTCTATTGGAAAGAGAAAGAAATTATATTCTCAAAATTACATTAATTGTATTTTGAGCCTTCTTTGTAAAACAAATAGAAATGCTTAAACCATGGAAATACCAGAAATGTTCAAGTCTATTTTTAAATAAACCGAATTACTTCATTCCCTATTAGATCAGAGTGGGATGATATCCCCCACAACCCATTTTAACATGAAATGCACAACAACAGCTAATGAGAAAGACTAAAAAGATGTGAGCATATGAGATATTAGATGACATTACACTACTATACGCAAGATATGAATTCACAGAACGATACCCGAGTCAACTGGTAGCCTCCACTGTGTTACATACCAACCACAGTCCTCCACCAAAGCTACGTATTTCTTTAACATCCACCTCTTACTCACCCAGCTGCTCCAGCATCCTATCGCACTCGTCAAGCACAAAGTGTTTGATGTTCTTCACGTTGAGGGTCTTGTTGCGGATGAGGGCCAGGGTGCGTCCCGGAGTTCCCACGACAATGTGAGGGCAGTTCTTCTTCAGGACTTCCTCATCCTTCTTGATGGCCAGGCCGCCGAAGAACACCGACACCTTGACAGTGGGCATGTACTTGGAGAAGCGCTCGTACTCTTTGCTGATCTGGAAGGCCAACTCTCGCGTGTGGCACATTACGAGGACAGACACCTGGCATACGGGGAAATGAGGACATTAGTCGTATTAACTGTTGAGTCCTTATGTAGTGCATTTTGTGCTTTTGTATTGCCATCTAGACAAATAGAAACATGTGACTGCAAACAAAATGTAATCGAGAGGATGCAGGGTTTACAAAACAGTGCTGAAAACACCACCTAGTACAGAACTATAGGAGAGGCATTATGACTCTTGAGCATATAAGGCAAGCAAAAACCAATGATGAGCAACTCACCTGACCATCCACAGGCTCTATCTGTTGCAAGGTGGCCAGTACAAACACTGCCGTCTTTCCCATACCAGACTTTGCCTGACACAGGATGTCCATGCCCAGGATAGCTTGTGGAATACACTCATGTTGGACTGAAAATGAAACAAATGGCAATTAAAGATGAGATATATTTCCAAAAACACAGAAGAGATTTTAAAAAAAAATGAGTTTATGAAGAGGTGTAAGTCTCATTGTATTATACAGCTGTTGCTTTAAAATAAGGATTATTTACATAGTTTTTAACATTAAACGACCCAAAACCGCTGTTCACCTTCTGAGGGATGCTCAAAACCACAGTCGACAATGGCCCGCAGCAGCTCTGGTTTGAGGAGAAAGTCTCTGAAGCCCGAGCTGTGGATGGAAACATAGGAACCCTTCACTTCCTTCTTGTTTGCTGGGGTCCCACTCTCAGGGACTCCCTGGGGCTCTTCGTCCTCCTCATAGTCCAAAAGTTCATTATCAACGTCGGTTTCGGCCATCTGTAGGAACAACGTGTAAATCAGTGAATCTGTGTCTCACAGCTTTTCCAAAAATGACTGTGGTAAAGTTCTCCTTAATATGAAATCTTATTTGAGAAAAAAAATCTGGGTGTCCCTAACAATTAAAATAATTAATATTATACATGTATTAGTAATAAATATGATTATAAATATCTAATAATGTTTCATTATCGTTATTACTCACGTCAGCAATTGTGTGGTAGGCTACTATAAATAAGTTACTCGCGGAATTTCCGGTGTTAAATAGATTTAACACAGAAAAATGTTAATACTAGCTCGATGCTAAAATGAACTGAAACCCAATATGCCATCTCGTAATTTTGCAAAGTTAGCAGGAGGGTCGTTTGGCTAACGCTAGCAGGTGGTAGCTCACATCAAACTGAAAGAATCAATTGTTTGTAAAAAAATATATATATTTTAAATGTAAACGTTGTTAGCCATTACAATTACGCAGACTGAAAACAATGGCCGACCGATGCGATACTGCGCTCCTCGTCCTTCTTGTTCATTCAAACCAGTTAGTTAGCAAGCTAGCAGCTAACAATTGAACGCGAGTCACGAATTACTATCAATCAACATTAAAGCAACATTGCGCTCTACCGTGTCTTATTATCTAACAGAGCATCATCAACAAGGCGTTAACATCATTGTATAGTGGACGAATGGTCAGAAAAACAAGTATAGATAGCTAAAGCTAATTGACGAACTCAAAACAAAGCTAACGTTAATGTGGCTAGCGTGTGAGCTACCAAAGCAAATCTCTAAATCCTAACTTTAGCAACTGCTACAAAGTATTCAAAACATTTCTCAGTTAATAACAACTACATATATACACATACTGTCAAGTTTGATGTGAAAAGTGTGAAAAAACTGCACCGTTACCTTGCTGTGATATATCTTATGTCCTGCCGATGTCAAAGTGCGTGATACTACTGAGCTAGCAAGTCTTCACAGCACACATGTATGGTGCGTTCGGGTACACCTCGAAAAACCCCTGCGCTCTTGACCCGGTCCGAACCACTGCCTATAAAAAAGAACGTCAGATGTTTTGCCTGATAACAACTACAGACTAACAACGAAATGAATTGCGCAACAAAATTATCAGGATGCTGTTGTTTTTATTTTATATATCATGTGATGCGGGACAAAGCCTTGAGAAAGAACTGTTCCATTTAAACAAACATATACAAAATCATTCATATTGAATACACAAATGTATCATCAAATGATGGCAGGGCTTTTTGGGTCTCCGCGGCGTAAACTGAACCATGGTCATAAATATCCATGTACCGGTTATTCGACTGTCCAAATAGTACGGGTCCATTACTTTATAATGCGATTACGATATTTTCCATAACACCTGAATGCATCTGTCACCACACAGCATCGCCTGTTCAGAAAGAACGTCGTGCACGTTTCCAAGGCTGTGATTCGTCAGAATCACGGAGGTATGGGATAAGGGTCAGAGCTGTAACATTTAATGAACTGTTGTTATGCCTTAATATTTCTGGAGATTATTTATGTCGTGTATGGTGACTGAACTATTCCTGCCCTTCTTATAATACAGTACAGCCAATCCTGGGAGTTTTGATCCTTTTGTCTTTTGATATGATATATTTCGGATGAAAGTATTGTGATAATTTAAGTTCTTAAATTGTCAATTAATAAGTATCTGAATGATATAAAGCATTTGCAGCATTTGTTCCTCACAATGGTCCAAGAGCCTGGGGAGCCGCAGTATCCATTTAATCCACTTGATGGCAATAAAGAAAATATATTTGGCCAGTTGACCGATGGCATTAAATGTATCTCATAATATGTTCACTTTTGTTATATGGGGCCTCAATACAAAGGCAGAGAACATCCCTCAAGGCTTGCCTGTGGTAAAAAGCATCTAGAGATCTAGAGATCTAATCTGAAGTGGATTAAAAGATGCTTTCTGGAAACTCAGCCTTGAATGCATCCATACTTCTTCCTTCAGTATAAGACAGTGCCTTATTCAATTTAAGGTAGTACAATGCCTACTACTCAAAAGACTTGCAAAAATGTAACCCAATATAAGCCCACAATGTTCAAGATGCCACCGTACCACAGCTAATGTAGGCCATATGTTTTGGTTGCGTCAATCCTGGAACAAGTTTTTCGAAGCATTTTCATGAATAATGTGCAGGAAAACAAAGTGCCCACCTCACACATTGCCATCCATGGGATTTCTTCACCAGAGATAACGGTTTCTGTATTTCAGACACATGTGCTACATTGATGGCTCAAAGACTCATTCTTCTTCCGTGAAAATCAGATAAACCGCCCTCTTTTAAACAATGGATCAGAGAAATGCTATCTATGCTGCTGCTAGAAAAAATAAGATATAGTAGAGCTAATTGTCCTTCAGCAACGTCTTGTTGAAGCTGTTTAGGGATTGTGGGTATTGGCAATGGTCAAACATGTTCCTAAAGTAAAACTACAGTATTAATCATAAATTGTAAAACTATTAATGCTGCAGAGTAAAAGTCCTGCAGGTCTTTTGAAATTGTACTTCAAGTGAAGAGTTGAACAGAAGCATTATCACGAATGTACTTAACTTCACAGGAAACAATGTTAGGTTTGGGATATCCCCAGCAAAATGTTCCCTTCAGGTTATGTATGACAGTTTAGTTATCATTAACGAATGTTCGTTTTTGTTTTTAAGAAGATTTCACTGATAATAGCACTGATAATATAGTTTTACTTTAGTAACATTTTCAATGTGTTTGTACAGTGTATAGTGTATACATTTTCTTGAGTATTGGAGGCAGTAGGCTTCGTCCACCACTGTACTGTGATAGGCTAGCCTACCTGCTGCCGCTCTTAGGTCAAGGTCAATTTAAACAGAACAGGTAGACTACTTATAATTGTGGCTGTTGTTGAAATCTAGCCAAATAAAAATGTTTTTTTCAAGACATAACACTGAAAATAGCAATTACATAGACAGGCGCTTGTAGTTGTGACACGACAGTTAGTTACTATGGTATAATCATGTGCTGAGCCAGAGATATATTAAAACTGTTATATATAACCGTTAATCTCACATAATTAATCGTTTATTTATACCATACACAGATAATCCGACACCGCTGTATGACACCTGCAGGTCCCGCCTTCCTGCCAAATAAAGATCTGCACTGATTGGCTGTCTTTGTTGTCCTTCCAAAGGGATCTCCCCGTCCGAACAGGCCATTGGTTCGTGGCATGCCGATCATATCTCATTCTGCCACCTGATTGGTGCGCCCCCGCCTCGTGCTCAGTTGAAGGCACAGGATGCCACTCGGTGTGATTAACTCGTCATGACTGATGCTGCCGTTTATATGAAATCCCCGTTGAACCGCAGGCTACACCGCACGGCTGTCATGGTTATTTTTAAGAATCTCTCCAGAAACATTCTCCTCTAATTCAACTCACACACGCGAGCCTCTCCGCGCGCCGAGGCTCGCGACCAGCTGTGCGACGCCGCGCTGCCTCCCGGTTGAGCGGCGGCAGGACGATGGCACTGCGTTGGACAATCTCTCTGTATTTGTCCTCGGTGGTCTATTAAAGGTTTTAATTAGCTGATAACACACGTTTGACATTTACGACGGACTGATGTGGGAGCGACGACAAAACGCACCGCTGTGATTATGGAAAAGCAGCCCAGGTAGGCATTCACTGTTGTATTTGTGTATTTTAGGTGTTTATTTATTTTAAATGTAATATCAATGTTATCGCGTGGAGCCTATTCACGGGCCAACTGGCTTATTAATGTGTATCAAATCAACGTAAAAAACACAGGCCCACACAGCAAAGCGGTATCGGTGCTGGTTGTTGAAGCCCCATCAACAGCAGCTTCATCCTTCTGCTCCATTTATCTCAGGGAAAAATTCCACTGTACGGCATGCCATCGGAGACTCGGCCAATTCATTAGCCTGTAAACCGTACTTATTGTGTATTTAGTGTCCTCGTGTCTAATGTGCACCTTACACAATCGTGTTGTTGGAATGCAAGGACACTTGGTGCCGCAAAGATTGATGTGTCATTTCGGCCACAGATGTGATGATCCAGCGGAGCCTCATGAGTCGACTGCAGAGCATGTAGGCCTGTCGTCCAGGCATCCTCGAGCAACAACAGGCCGGGATAATGAGCTGTCATGTCCAAATGAAACCCCAGTCACTGGGATTTAAAGGCTCTTTCACAATGAAACCCCGGGACAAATGGCTGTAGGAGTCACTGTCACCTTTTAATAAATAGGCTTTCTTTTTCTTCTTCTTTTGTAAGAACAGTGGATGGGTGACAGAGGGGGCTACCGTGTTGTATCCACCTGTGTGTTTCAATCAACATGTCACTGTCCTTGGGAAAAACAGACGCTGGGCCCCCACCTGCCCAATTCGTTGGTCGCCTTTGCTAAAAGTGACATTTCGGTTGTTTTGACCCTCGATCCAGCTGCTGTTACTTTATCCATCTGACCAGAGAGTGGTCCAAAGGTAAATCCCTTTTAAATGTCTGGCTTGCAAGACCGAAAAACCTGCAGGTCTCTAAAGTGCTGAGAGAAACCACTGCGTTATGACGCTGAGATAAACCACTGCGTTATGACTGTTTAGATCTGGCCAGACACACATTATTGTTACCTCCCAAGTGGAATAAAAAGTAGGCATGACTGACATAGTTTTGAGGTGTGATAATAAAAGATTAAGGATACTGCTGACTAAACAAAATGGAAGAGCTCCCTCAGGCACTTATCTTTTCCTCTTCTTTTTTTTTTTACGAGTGGGTAAACTATTCAATGAATTAATTATCTTACTCTGTTGATTTGTAATTACGGCTTGACTGCCCCGTGACTAAAGCCACGTACCGCTGAGTAATGGGTGCATCATATCCGTGTGTGTGAGATGCAGTGAGATTATTCTCAGGTTTAAAATCCACTCTCCAAATGCTAAAAAGCACCTCACACATTTCATCGTCAAGGAAACAGGTATCTGATTCTCACATCCTGGTAACCTTGTTTTCATGTGCCGCAGCCTCGAAACTTCTTTAACTGATCCCACGATCACACACACACACACACACACACATACACACACACACAAAAGATTGCATTCTATGTCCACGACAGGCGATCACACCACAGCTTATCCTAGCTAACCTTTTCCTGTGCACTCACTGCTGCTGCTGCCACATTAGTGTGAGAGGAGCGGTAAGCTAATAGGCTCTGGATAGCGTCGTCAGGATCAACAGTTTCTGAGTCGTTTGTACACGTGTGTGTGTGTGTGTGTGTGTGTGTGTGTGTGTGTGTGTGTGTGTGCATGGATTTGAAGTTGTGTGTGTAGCCTCCAGCATCAACAGGAGGAGGGATATCATCTCGCAGCCATCTCTCTGTGCCGTACAGCTTGTCCGCTTGCTGCCATCCACCGTGTTTGGTTGTTGAACAGGGACGTACAGGAGCAACGTGTACAGGTCGTAGCAAGGATGGACTCACTGATTTCCCTCACGCTCAAAACAAGATTTGCCTTTTGATAAGTTGTGCAAATAAGGGTGAGGCTATGTCTCTTTAACAAGCTTACAATGAGATCTAACTTTCACTCCCCTAGTGGCTTAACCCAGTGAGAAAAACCCTTTTAGATGAATAATCAAAAAGGAGCATTATGACTTTTTGATAAACTAGCCTTTGTAGCAGCAGTTGTGTAGACAGTCATTATCACAGTTATTACATGTTTGTATGCATCTTTTTTGTTAAAAGATTCAGTCTCATGTTGTAACTCAGCAGGCTTCGTTTTGCCCCTGATAAGACCTCAGATGTTCCCTCTGTTCCAGTGCCTCACACAAGAGATACATTTCCTCAAAATATAAATGTAAACTTTATTAGTTTATGAGGTTAATGGTGTTTTCTCTAGTGGCTGTTTGACTGTGGTAAAGTCTGGGAACATTGTCACTTAGTTAAAGTTTAGGGGAGAAAATATATGTCTACAACTAACAATAATTTTCAGTATTGGGTCATAAAATGTCGCAGAGACCAAGTTGATGTTAAATGATGTCTTGTTTTGTGCGACCAACAGTTCCAAAACCCAAAGATATTCAAGTTACTATCACAGGACACAAGCAAAACAAGTAAATATTCACATCTGAGAAGCTGGAACCTGAGAAGTTTTGTCATTTTTACGTGCTTCTGCTCTAAAATACCATGCGCCTGATTTGGACAGTTGGGACATTTTTTCCTATATTCACCGAATTCATGGCCTTTGCCAAGTCCCGCCCTGGAACGCAGATTGTCTTCATGTTCAGGCTGGCTTTGTTGACTTTAGCTCTTCGTGGTTAAACGTTGTGTAGTAATGATACTCGTTACTCGGAGAGAGGTGGGGAGGAGATATGCATTTCTAAAACATTATATTTCTATGTAAAAACCTGTTAGCAGAGCACGTTAGCACATCATTAACTAGTGTTAGCACTTCTGTGCTACGCTAGCTGCTGAAGGTTTACTGAATGTTTACACATGCTGCTTTTGCTTTTTAATGATTATTACAGTGAATAAAGAGGAACAGTGTTGTTCCCTAATTCCATTGTCTTCTGTCTCGATCACCAGGTGATGCTGTGGTTCACTTTTACTCTGTGATCTGAAGCTTTAGCTTCTATCTTTATCTTTTAAACCTGTTTGAGCTGCTGAATCAGTTTCACATCCGGCTGTATTCGTCAGGCTCATTTTGTTGACCCGTCTCTCTGCTTCTCTCTGAAGTCGCCTTTTCCTTTTTCTAAAAATTAGATAATGTTTAGTCATTGAGTGCAGTTGGTGACAGTGTGGGCTCCATGGTAACGTAGCTCTGACAGCATGACGGAGTGGCAGCAGGGGGCGGGACTTAACAAAGGGTCAATAAAATAACAGCACACCAGCCACACAAAAAAGCTTTACTAAATGTTTTTTCGACAAAATGTTGTCGCTCTAAAGCCTTCAGTATCATCTGTCCTGGATCTGCTTGTCTAACTGGTTGGCTTGCTGGTTGACTGTTCTGGTGCTGGCCCGGCCTGTGTGCACTGCACTCCATTTCCTTTGCTGACACATGGAAACATGGAGCAGCTTGATGACCTGGCTGATGTGGTTCAAGCTCACTACGACTGCAGCTCCTCCACAGCTCTGCTTTCTACCCCTTTTGTTCATGTCGACTGCAGTTTTGTAACTGGATCTGTGCAGCCCTGCAGATTTTTACAATGACTGAAACGTGATCTTGTTTTCAGACTGCTGCATGTTGGATTTATAACCTCAATCAAATTATGTTCAAATAATGAGGCAGACGTGCATAGGGCCATTTGTATAAATATCTAATCAGGATTATTATGACTGATATTACAATTGTGATAGGATTTGTGATATTAGAGGGAGTGATAATTTTTTTAATCATTCTCATTTTCTTTGACAAACATTAAAATGATTATGATTAGCTCATTATAGCTTCCTCTAATGTTTTCTCTGTCAGTGAAAATAATGTCTCTTTGGTGCTAACAATTCACAGACATCTGAAACGTGAAGCTTTCCCAACCAGACACTGATTTTTAAAGGAGTCAAAGCCTAAAGGGTTGGGCACCATTGGTTCACACTTTGTATTTTATACGATTATCAAATGTGTAATCTGAAAAGTAACTAAAGCTGTCACTAAAGTGTAGTGTAGCGGAGTAAAATGTTCAATCATTGAAATGTTCTCTATATGATATACAGAGTAATAATATAGCAGCAAACTAATATTTGTTATGTAAAGACAACAAGAGGTAGCACCCAACCTCCGGTTCCCCCTCAGGTAAACACTCAGCCCTGTTGACTGCACTGTTAAAGCTGTTAGCACCGTTAGCTGCAAGCCGCCGGCTCAGTCGTCGCCACGTTGAGAGCTGTGTGGAGGCAATCCCTCTGCTCTGAATATCGAATTTAGCACCTTTTTTGTTTGGTACAGCGCATCTCTACAATCACACCATAACAATCATTTTAATGGTTTTCAATGAAAATAAGTATAATCATGTAAAAATTGTAAAAAAAAATCATGTCGCATTCTCCATATCAGTCATAATAATCGCAGTTTGATATTTTTTTCAAAATCGGTCAACCCTAATTACACCACTGTCATTAGGTAAGCTGAGTGGCTATGAATACACGGTGAGGACAAATATTTCATAAGCATTTGGCATTACACATAGTTACCAAAAATATCTGTGATTCTGGAGGTAGTCGGGTACAAACATGCTGCTTCTCTGTACAAAAGGTCGGAGCGTTTCATCAGCTAAGTCAAGATGTTGTTTAAAATGAACGCAAGGGAATGATTTACCGCAGGCTCAATCTGTGGGAGTATGATTAACAACACTGACGTGTTACTGAATGAGAGACTGAGGCATTTTGAAACCTCTGTGGATGATGCTCCGTTTGCACAGTCGACCTGTAATGTGATGTGTCCTGTCAGCCAATGGGCCGGCAACGAGCCTCTGCTTTGGAGTGTTTTTTTGAAATTTGATTAGTTTCTCTCATTTCCCCAGGAGGCTTGAGGTTGTTATGAAACACAAGAAAACAAGCAAACCATTCAAATTAATCTCATTTTTGAGATGTAGTTTGTGAATTTTCGCCGCCATTTCTAACGCAAACGGCAGATGTTTGTAATCAGAACGGGTGATTACACAGCAGCTCAGCTACTG